TAAAACATGCTTTGGGCAAGTGCAGTATACAAGTGACTATTAAAAAGAAATAAAATACCACAAAAGGATTTTATTCTTTCATGATATGTTTCAAAACCATTCTCTGAATCAGTCTCTCACAAACTTATTAGAACTCCGGAGAAAAAAATCCCCAAACATTTTAAGCAGTCCCTGTTTAAAGGGAGACCCCTCTCACCTGCACAGGCTTAGACTCAACTTGCACCCTCCAGCTCTGACACCACCTGATTTCTGGAAACTCTCCAGGAAAGAACCAGCCTTTCCAAAAGACAAGAACCCCAGCTTTGTTTAGTTCCCCCTTCCTGATATCCCCCCCCTCCCTGGACTCTCCTCCTCGCTGGCCTTGCAGACTTTATTCTTTCTCACCACGCTGAGGAATTAAGAGTCTCATCAGTGATTTCTTATTTTCTTTTGATTTGGTGACTGTGCTCCATATCACACCTTCTGCATGGCCCATTTTCACCACAGCCATCTCTTTGTTTTGCAGACTGCTCCCAGCAACAAGGTCAGGATTAGTTTTTAGATGCCACCATGTTTTATTTACGGTTCATTTCTGGACTATTTTCATTTATAGCAAATCTTTGCAATGCACATAACCTTTTAACCTTTTTTTTCCGTGTGTGTCTCCAATCTGTGGCACAAGGCATATTGACTAGCCTGTGGCAACTTAACTCTTATTGACAGACTCCGAAGAATCCAATTTACAGAACCGGTTCCTATGCCCTTAAAGTAAAGGTGAATAAACAGATCTAAAGGGCATCATATCTCTTACTCGATGTTTGAATGGCATCAGTAAAATATTTCACTGAGGTTGTTCACGTTGCTGCATCAGGCAGCACCTAACCAAGTGACCTTTTACACTTTAATTTTGTGTCTTTTCAAGATTGATTACATTGTGAGCTTTGAATTGTTTCACATTTCTATATTTCCTATCTTTCACCTAAGAAGAAGACACTTCTTTATTGCTACGAATACAGTTCAATATCTGAATAATATGTGCCCTCTAGGTTTTGACAAGGGAGAAAACCTACAACATAAACCAACCCCTACCCTTACTGTTCTACTGTGCTTTATAGAAAAAAAAATAAGTGATTGATTGGTATCTGATTTCCTGATAGGTCTCAAAATAAATACTAGAGACAACAAAAATGTACAGTTAAACAGAATGATGCATATTAAACATTAACAGTTGCATTAAAAAGGAATTTTTACAAGATTATTAGAAATGTTTAACAGAAGAGAAACTGTTAAGACCAAACTGTGCTCCAGGAGGTATTTAGGCAAATAATACATTAAAACAAACAAAGCAGTAGTGCTATTTAGGGAACTTCCTCCAGTGATTATTCATGAATGAGTTAAAAACAGCATCACTCTGCACAACATCAGCTCTGACTTCATTTCATTACTTGGCTCTACATATGAACAAACTGAATGAGATGCATTTCTCTGACTTAACAGCTACACTGTGTACGTAGGACATGTAAGGCAAAGACATTTTCACACAATTTCTCCTGCATGGCCCTGCAGTGAAATTAACACTGGACTGGTAACCTGAAAGCCATTACTAAGGCAACAGATAGAAATCAGTGTTATGACTTCAGTACAGGCAAAAGGGAGAGTAGAAATCAAAATCAGAAAAACATGGAAAAATTTCTATCAAATACACAAATCCTTCAATAACATCAAAAGAAATTTTAGAAAATATGTGTTTGAATATATTTCTTTAAATAAATGCTTTGTTTTTAAGTTACCTCCAAAGTGATAGTCTTTCTTTAAATATGCTTTCACAGCCTAAACAGCTATAGAAACAGATATTATCACTTACCATTAAAAAAAAACCAGTAAGGTAAAACAAAATAAAACAAAGAGTACAATCGGCAGGACTGTGAGTTGATTTTCAATGTTTTAATACAAATGCCCAACCTTCTGACTGGCTTTCCAGATTTCATTCATGAAAAACTGGGAATAAAACTGTGCACTTGTGCACATAGTCTCTGCTGATCAGGCTACACAACATTTACAAGGAATTTACTTCTGTGAAAGCATTACACTGAAAAACGTCAATTTATTAAAGGCATTTAACTTAGGGTTTTGTTAAAGATTTAATTTTTTTTAATTGAAGTGTCAGTTATTACTCAGATTCTTTTTAATATACCTGCAACATTTTAAAAACAATTAACCAAACCATCAGTAGATGGATCCAGACTGTGAAAATCATTTGCAGCTGTCACACCATGAGGTTTACTTTTATTCATGCTATTCCATTCTTTAGTACATATTCTTCTAACCAGTAACCCAGGATAGGACTCAAATAAACCACAGTAAATAATGGTAAATATGGCATGTGGTCATTCTTCAACTCATTGATTTGAATGTCCAGATTTGGGGGGCAAAAACCCAAACAACACAAGACTCCCACAACAAAGCAGATGCTCAGCACCAGACAAATAAGGAAAAAACCACTACTTACAAGATTTATGAAATGAAAAAAAATCCAGTGCTTCAAAACACAGCGAGAGTTCTAGTTCAGAGCCCCTTACAATACCTCACATCAGCACACTGAACTTGCCTCCTGGGCAATTTCAAAAGGTCTTTCATTGTTTATTTTTTAACCTGACAAAAATTATAGTGCAAATGAATCCACCTCAATATCATTTCATGTTTTTAGCACCCTAGGATTTTTCAAGTTTGCCTAGGTTTTAGAAGGGGCTGTGTTTAGTTTTCGACTTTTTTAAACTATAAATAGAGAGATTATGAGAATTATCAGAAGATGTGAGATATAAAAAGTTTAATTTAAAGGAAATTAGCCTTTACTTACGAACGTACATTAATCTGCTATTGTATGTTTTCTAATCTCAACACCAAATCCCCCAAGTACGTTATTTCTAACACTTCCTCTATCGTTGTAATTGTTCAAGCAATTACAAACTATGATTGTTTCCTACTCCTCTGGAGACACTCAATACAGTACTTCTAAGCACTGAACTATGTCCCAATAATCATTCTAGATTTTACTTTATTTGATCCCATTAGTCCCATTATGTAACATCCTGAAATACTTCCTTGATCTTCCAGTATTCAAGCCTTCAAAACTATTACATCTGAATTACCTATCCTTTGATCTCCAAGAGTTGGAACAAGGGCGTACCTCTAAAAAGCATCTTCCAAAAACTCTGGTTAGTTTAATCAACAAGGCAAGCAGCTTAAATAGCATATGTATTTTATAGCTTTTATCTAGTTAACGACTCCATCATGATTCACTGCTTTGCATATTTCTTTTTTTCTTTTTAGTGGCATAAAACTGTGATTTTCCTTTTCTATTTTAAAAGGATATGAATAGAAAATGCAGAGAGAAATGGCATTAGCAGTGAGAAGCTTCAGCCTGAGAGGGAATCTTGAAGATTGATGTATGGCATTGGCCAAACAACTCAAATTTCAAGTTCTAACTTCTTTGTTTTATAGCAAATTACAAATCTATACTTTTAAACAGACTCAGATAAATTAACTTTTAAACTACCAGGGCAGCACAACAGGAGAAAAAAGCTTTGGTTTCTTTTTTTATTTTTAGTGGAAATTTGGCATAGTGTGGATTTATTCCTAGCAATGCAGACATACAAGTGACTTGTTTTTAATACAGATACTTGTATCCTAACTACCTCTCACAATTATTTCAACTGATAAAGTACAGCCTTTAGAGTTAAATCATTAAACCCCTAAGCCTTCAGGGTTTTGCAGGCCACCCAATAAATACACAGTAGAATATTTAAGAAAAACACTTCAACTTTTAAACAAAATTTCCAGAAGATGGGAGTTATTTTTAAAACACAGTAAATGATAAACTTTAGCATTATGACTGCCTTAGGAAATGTTCAAGTTTACTGAACTGCCTTCTGGGGCCTACATCCATCTAGGTCACTTAGCCTTGCAGTTTGCTGCTAAATACAAAACCAAAATGAAGGCTTAAGCCCAACTACTGCTCATAATTCCTGCACAGGTGTAGAGCCATATCAGATGCCCAGCAATATGACCCAGTTATTTTCTCTTCTCATCCCTCTCTGTGACTCTCAATACCAAGTCACTGCTACCTGCACTGCAGCCTGCCTGTGGAACAGAGCTATTTCTTTTTTTCTGCTGCAGTGCTCCTTAACCAACTCATCTTGTGTTGGCTTATTTGGGTTTAATTAATGGATAAAGCTATTGGCACCCTGTCATCAACAGATCTATGTTTCAGCCACTTCCTAGCAGATTTACTAAGGCACACTCCCCTTACTAGGTGGTATTCCCTTCCCACATCAGCATTTACTGATGACTGAGAAGAAGGAAGAACATCAGAACAAGGTCCAGAGAAGCTGTGTTTGGGCTCCTCCCTGACTGCAGTGCTGGGGAGGTGAAGGCAAACAAAGAGAATGGAAAGGATTGGCTCTGCCAGGTCCCAGCTGCTGTAAATACTGCCCAGGGCTCTTGCTGAGAGCATGTGAGGAAAGGGAATTTCACATTTCTTGTTACCCACACAACCAGCACCTCAACTGCTGACAGGAACTGCTTCTGCCCAGCCAAAGGCTCTGTACTCCAGGCCATTTTCACCTCCAAATCTGAGTTTGTCCTTGGCCAGTTCCAAAGTTGCTGCTTCTTTCTATAGGTTGTGTGATAATTTTTCAAACTTAATGAACAGATTTTCACAAATAAATTGGTCAGTTCAGATCTACCATTTTAGTGGGGGAAAAATAATTAAAATTTAATAATGATAATCATCATCATCACCTATCTTACAGGGCTTGGAAAAAAATACTGTATAAGCCTATTTGTACAAAATAAACCTGTGTCCAATATGTACCAGTTAGTGACCATCAGATGTTTGAAGTTGGGTTTTTTTAACATCTTTTATTTTCAATGCACTCTTTATTTTCAAAGAAATAAGCTCAGCTGTGATAACAGTACACTGCCTATGGAGAAGCAATAAATCCACGTTATGCCAAATTTCCACTAAAAAGAAAAAAAAGAAACCAAAGCTTTTTTCTCCTGTTGTGCTGCCCTGGTAGTTTAAAAGTATAGATTTGTAATCTGCCATAAAACAAAGAAGTTAAAACTTGAAATTTGGGTTATTTGGCCAATACCAATCTTCAAGATTATTTGGCCAATCTTCAAGACTCCCTCTCAGGTTGAAGCTTCTCACTGCTGAACATGCAAAACTTTCAAAAAGTCTGAGTCAGAGTTTCATTTTCCTTTTCAAGTACTATGAAACTGATATAGGCAGTTTCCATAAACTCTCATTTAGAACGTTTTACAGTGAGTAACATGAAATTATTTTGCTTATTAACTACAATTTATTCTTCTCAAGAGCTGTTATAAGTTAATCACATTATTTCTGTATAGCACATACATCAGAGACAGCTGGTGTAATGGGAGACTCACCTCACCTAGTGTGTTTGACTAGACTAGACTTCTGTTTAGTTGTTCTTCCAAAAATATCTGCAGTCTACAAAAGCATCTATGTGCCACTGAAGTATTTTACATGATGAGTTTGCACACAGGACTATCTAAAACCTCTAACAATATGATGGAAGGCTAAAATGGTAAAATGAAGGGTCACTTCTCAAAAAAAATGTTATTGGAAGAATTTATGAAAACCTACAAACAATTTCTAATGGATTATTATCTGAAAAGCAACTGGATGTGCAACATGGAGTTTCTTTTTGTGTTATTAAATATCTCCTAAAGCCTAAGAGGAAAATGCAAAATTTAAAAGAAAGATATAAACTGGATAGTTTATCTGCAACAAAATACTGCAGAATGAAAACCTAACCAGACAGCAGCCTTAGTGTCATGGAGTCATCAGAGAAAATTAGACTTGTCAATTATCAAATCTTCTCAATTATCCTGACAATGCTACAAAGTTTGTATCTGGAAAGAACATTAATGCAATAGTCCCTCCTTTAGTCAGACTTAAAGCCCAGCTGGGTCTAAGAGTACTCAAGAAAAACCGAGGCAACAAGTTACTGGCCATCCAAAAATAAATGTCACATGGCAGTCTGCTTGGGAGTTACTGTGCCCAATTTGAATTTAAGTCAAGAGTACAGTAAAGGTACTTCAGTAACTTCAGGTTAAGTAAAGGTTCCTTCAGTAACTGCTGTGCAATTTGGATGACATTTAGCATTGTGTCAGCTTAGGGTTTTGTTTTGTTCATTTTTTTTTAATACAGTTTGCTACATTCTGGATTTTGTTTTAAAATGCACAGCCAGAGAACACAATAGAAACCTATACAACATTAAAAGTCAATGCCTGAATACAAATCACAAGAAAAATGTGAATCACCATCAACTCTTGCCAGTAGAAATTCTGTTTACAGATCTTAGCAACTATTTTCCAATATTCAAAACAACAACCAATGCTCTAGGAAAATCTAATTTCAATGACCAGCTTATTCATTATAAATCTGTCATAACCTGTAAATACATTCAGTCATTAATTATAAATCTCTGTATGGCTGCTGCTGCTGAAAGAGTGGAGAAGGTATTTATTCCATGATCCTAAAAAATGAAAAGTTTATCTGCAGTCAGATATGTCAGATACTGTCCAATCTTCCCTATTCAGTATTTCATTTCAAATAAGTTAAAAACCTGGAATTTAAAGACAAGTTTCTGAGTGTTGACTTTCACCACCCCTCTGGGGATCCAGCTGCACACGTTAAGCAGAAGCACCACGTTGGTTCTGAGGCTGCAGAGGGTGCTCACAGGTTTCAGCTCTGAAACTGCTGCACAACAGATCTGGAGATTAAACCTGCCAGGAAATGTGCCTTCCATTAAACTCGTCTCTGGTCTCTATTAAAATCCAGAAGAATCCTGACTTCTTTCCCAGTCCCACCCCTATTTTCTTTCATTCTCTCAGTCACATTCAGTACAATATTTTTTCACTTTGCACATTAATTGTTCTAATATTCTTATCTTCAAACCCTAAATTTCCACTTGTTACATAATCTCTTCTTGTCCTCTTTTGTATTTTCCCTCTTTTATCCAGCTTCTTTTTCCTCTCTCATTATTCAGAGCTTTTTTCCTTCTCCATATAGTATTGTCCTCCCCTCCCTATTTCTTGCTGGCTGAAAAGAGATGCCTTTTTTAATCATCCTTTTTTCTGTTTTTTTTTTGTTGCTTTCATAAATTAAAAAAGCAACATGGTTAGAGCTCAAAGGTATCTGAGAACCAAATCCAAACACCAATATATTTTATATGTGGATTCACTTAACTTTTAGGAGATGCAAAAATATCTCAGAAATAATAAAAAAAATATTAAACAGGAATAGCAGATCATATAAACCTGCAAATAGCTTAGCAAAAATGCTGAAGGCCATATGCTCTCCCTATTGACACATTATACCTCTTTCCTGCTGCAGAAAGCATTTCTAACACAATGTGGAAAGATAATGGCAAATTACAAAACTAGCACCACATCAAACTTACTGTTTCAACTGTAAAGCAAAATATTTTGTCTGGCTTTCAAGTCCACTGAAAGTACTGTGAGAGTAAGAATAATCAAGATGATACAGCTGTCTCTTCAATCTTATCTCAGATTTATAGTCTTGAGGGCACAGGCAGTCTTTGGGAACAGACAACAAAGCTCTCAAAGAGCAGCAGAATCTCCAGCACAGGTCACAGCACCTGTGAGCAATTCTGACAAGCCAATACTGAACTCCCTCCAATTATGGCTAAATTACTGACTAGTATTCGAGATAACTTGGGATTTCTTCCAAAATCTTTCTTCCCCATGCTTCAGAGTTTTTTTTATTGCCACAAGGCTGCACCTTACCAGAAACATTTTCCAAAGTCCTAGTTCTGCAGGAGCATGAGCACAGAGATAAAACATCCATTGATGGTTTTTACTACACAATGTGAAACAGTTCAAATCCTTCAAGTCTCTGCTTCCTCCCACCCCCCAAAAATGGAACTTCTTCCTTTTTTTAACTTTTTTTTTTTTTTTTTAATAAGAAACTGATAGGAAAAATGAATTTCAAGTTTTACCTCAAAGTGGTCCTCTTCTCCCAAGTTTCAGCTATGGGCAACTTTGGGCTTGAAAATATCTTAATATCACTGATTTAACCCAATTGTGGGATATATTACTATTTAAAAGCTAATTTATAGTAGCTACTACCCTGAAATATAACTTCCTTCACAAGGCCTTTCTCAGTCTCCTGCCAACCAGATTTGGGCTCCAGGCTTGAAACAATGAGCTTCTGTTTTCGAGATGAGAAAACACTAAAATGATCAGGAACTGAGAAGTTAAACCATCTTAGGCCTGCTCATACCTGTGTGAGAGATGCTTGTCTAAAATTGTATGACTTTAACGGGTCAGTTAAGCTGGCAAAAGCCAGGACAAAAAGGAAACATTTGTTCTGCGTCAGGCACTCCATTAGATAGCAGTGATATCCTTGTTCTTAAGGGGAAAAAAAGGAATCAAAGCAGTAGGTCACTGAGCTTTATTCTTTTCCTGACTAAATTTATCATGCTAGAATTTGTTCCTGTGACAGTCACAATCTCCTTAGCCTATTTTTACATTTTGCTCCTCTTTTAGATCCACCTCCTCAATGCAGAGGTTGCTCCACATACTGTTCTCATCAATTCAGTAACATCCTGTTCGTGATGAGTTTCTGGTTCCTCATGGCTGGATGTTATACACATACATGTGTATAACAAATGTGATTCAAATATGATATGAAACTATTTCTGTGCAAAAACCAGATCAGTTTATTGTACAATGAAAAGGACTGAGCACAGTCTTCAACAATTCTTAGAGCAATTTCCTCTCCCCATCCTCAAGAGAACTCCAACTACACATGGACTTCATTGCTCTCACTGGCTTCACTACTGATATCTAGTTTTTAACCAGAAAATTTAAACCGGATTGCTGAATTATTAAGCATGGAAGCTCTAAAATTTTATTGTTATCTCCATATGTTTCTTGTAGGTAATTTTTGCTTTTTAGCATCTCTTCTTCTATTGGGTACACTCAGTGACTATTTATAGACCTCTGCAAAATTCCTCTAACACCCATAATTCAAGCTTTTCTTTTCTAAAATTGATGAGTTACTCAGTAAAGCATATATAAATTGGGCAAGTATTAAATAATTCTACAATTGTGGGGGGTTTTTTTATATTTTCATGTCTGTCTGTGATTTGATTATGGGGGTTTAAATGAGCTTTTCAGACACACACAAATTCACTCTGATAGCCTCACTTTTCTTACAACAAAATACAAGATTAAACTAATTATTTCATAGCAGAAAGAGCAGAAAATCTCAAGCCAGAAGATTAGAACAAGTCGGGCCCATCATGGATGCTGCCACGTTAACTGGTCAGAGGGCAACCAGAGGCTAAATTCTCTCTGCCACAGAAAGCCAGGCAACTGCAAGTTGGGATCAGCCTCTTCTTCTGTGGCCTAAAAAGGGCCAATAAACAAGGATTTACAGTAGCACCAAAGGTACAGTAAACATCCACTGTCAAAATACTTTTCATGGCTGTTTTTGAGAAACCACTGGAGCAAAGTCCACACAAAACCAGACCCACGAAATGTACCCAAGGCCTGCTTTCATGCTGCAACAGAACAGCAATCCCAAAATGACATAACTAAACATTATGAAGAGAAAACTAGTGCTCAGAGAGTTAATACAATTTGACAGTTCCTTAAGGTACCATCTAATTACAGCATTAGAAGGCAATCACCAATTTCTATGTAAGCAAACCATCAACAGACAGCTGCTTACTTGTATTTGAAAAATGTCCTTTCACATGAGAATGTTTGCACACCTAATAACTAAAAATTTACTTATACTGGAATATTAAAAGAGACTGGATATTGCAAATGGTTGACAAACCAGCCCTTTAACAATAGGGCCTTCATGTGTTTATTACAGGCATTTTATTATTTTAAAGCTAAGATTCAACCACATTTTATTGTAGTATGTTGTATAGTTGTACTTCTCTCCTACACATCCACAAGCAAATTAGGTCAATTCCAAACTATTTGTAAAACCTCCTACATAGAAAGGAGTTTGAGATTTTAAAACAGAGTAAGTTTAAAATAAACAAAGTCAACCTACCAGTGTCATTAGCTTTGTGAACTGTCAATTTTTTGTACCAGTCTAATAAGGCATCCCAAAGTAGTAAGAATCAAATTGTGAGAATGACTGTCCTTGGCCAGAGATTGCAGGCACATCACATTTCATAACATTTTAATAATGTTTATTATGTAAGTTTCCCTAATTAACTTCTAAACTTATTTCTACATTTGGCATCTGTAACATCCTGTGGCAATGAGTTCCAATGTGTAATTATGTGTTGCATGAAAAATTGCTTATTTTAAACCTACTGCTGGGTAAGAGCTAGGAGTCATCAAAAACGTGTTAGAAGAAATGATGAATAATCATGCTCTCCCCATCCTCTCCATAACATTTGTAGCTTTATATACCTCTTGTATTTCTTCTGACCTCATTTCTTTTCCAAGCTGCAGAGTTCTGATCATCCTGTTCAAACACAGGTATCTCTTTCCCCACATATAACCTGGTTTGTTCTTATTAAAAGAAAGGACATCTGCAACTGTTTGTACTGTTCCAGATTGGCCATGGATGTCGTCATGATGTTTGTATAGAATGATAATGCAATTGCAAGCCCTCTTTTTTGAGTAGTAACAATTTAGACTGCCGTGCATGTCAGTTACCCAGTTCCCTCCTGCAGGCATCACTGAACATTGTATAGTTAATGCACCTGCCATTCTACTAATTTGTTATCTTGCATTATCTTCCCACAACTGTTCATGTTCACAGATTTGGGGGACCTTTATACTGTGAATGCTGCATGAATACAAGCTGTTAGTTTGTTGTTTAGCCCCTTTCACAGATTTATTAAAGCAGCAAAGATCTTCATATAGATCACTGTAGGAGTCTATTATTGATTTGTGATAACTAATCTTCTATTCTCATCCCTTTTTTTTCTCATCTTACATAGTTATTTACCTGACAAGACTTCTCACTTACTTTTGTGACTATAGGATTTCTTTAAGAAACTTTGCCTGCAGCTGTCATGGCTACTTAGGATGGTTAATTCACGTGGGATTCACAGTTCTAATACAACCATGGACTCACATCCATGCAAGCTATAATCTGTCTACAACAATCATGTTTGCTCTTCTTTGTTCTTTTATATTGTACATGTTCTTTTTTCATATTTATAAGCACACATCTCATTTGATTCTATGAAGTTTTAATTAATTTTTATAAAGATAGAAATAAAACTTGCTGGGCTGTAGCTTCATGTAAATTATGCCACATTTCCAAATTCAGTGATTATTGATGCAAATTACTCCAGACCTGTTGAGCGCACCCTGATTAATTTGTTATTTTTTAATCAGCTTGCTCTAGAAGTTTTCCCCTAATACTTGACTGTCAAGCAGAACACCTGAGATATCTTAAATAGGCTCTAGTGCAAAAAGCTTCATATACCCTCTATAATTAACACAAATGCAAAAAGTGTCTTTGTGAGATTTAGTGCTAAACACTTATCTTCTGCTAGTGTACTCCCAATGTCTCGATCCTTATTGGGCCTGGAGACTGTTATGTTTCTTGTTTCTGATGTGTCTGAAAAATTTATCAAAGCTCTTTCTGTGCCTGTCTTCTGGCTTTCACACATAACTTACCAGTTTTATGTCCAAGTGTTTCCCACATTGGCTTACAATTCCTACTTTATGAAGTCTTTGTTTACCTGTTACAGATTTCCCTCCTTTGCAGTTTAATAATACTGAGTCTGGGGCATTTTTTCTTCCAGTGTGACAGATGGCAGTGTTTACTATAACATTTAATATGGTAGCTCTTGATACCACTAAAAGTCCTATCCTTTTAGCTGTTCCTTTTAACAATTTCCTAAGATGCATGCTCCCTTAGGCATAGTTTACTCTATAAAATGTTATGGTAACATATTTTATACTTGCTCTTAAAACAATATGGCAACCATATTCATTATGATTAGTCCTGTAGGGCAGCCCAACAATAATTTCACCTTAAATAAGTTCTTGCACATTTGTCAAGAGCTACTCTCGTTATGAGCTGACAGCTTGTCAGAAAACCCAATACATCATTCTTCACTTCCATATTTAGAGTCTTCATAAACAAAGCAAAACCATGTAAAAACAGGAAATGTTTCTTCCCTCAGCATTCCTTAGCACTTTTCCACCTCATTAACATGATTAGTCTAACCCTTACCTTAATGTGATCTAATTGCACACAAATTCAAACTATAAATGTGCTTTCTTGTTCAGACATACACAGCCTTGACCATAAACCCTAATACAATAATGCATCTTTCAGAATACAGTTTGTATTCTCATATCTATAAAAATGTTTACCCCTACACTAATATCCTCTTGTATCAATTTACTGTGATGCCAAATATGTCAACATCTGGATTTCAAACCAGCATTCCAGCTCTCACACTCAACTTTTCACCTTTCAGACTTTGTCCAGACAACCATCTACAACTTCTAATGGTCTACTTGATTTTTTTCTAATACTTTATAAAAAGAAGCAATTGGGAAATACATACATGACGGTGTTAATCCCTGACAGTTGTTGAAACATCTGCAGACCACAACCCACAATTAAGGCTCTTCGAGTTGGAGGGTATGTTAGCATTCTGCAGATCACAGGTCCAGCTTAAAAAAAAAACAAGACAACAACAAAAGAATACATAATAGTTCTTAAGTGATCTCTATCAAGACAATGTTGCCAGGCATAGCAGACTTTGCACCTTAGTTTCAAGCAAACTTCTATAATTTCAGTTATTTTTGAACAATTTAGTCATTTCAGTTCTGCTTTTCTGCACTGTACTACAAAGAGGATTATCAGGAAGCCCAAGCAGAAAAATGAAACCATTTTGTACAGTGTCTATTACTGGTGTGAAATGTACAGCTTTCCTTGTATCCCATTAACAGATTACACATCAGCTGCACTTGAATATACTCAAAAGTTATCACAAAATATCACTGTTGTTTCCTTTCTAAAAGCTTCCATTGTTATTGAGAGGTTATTTCAGGAATGCAATTAGTCATTGCTCGGGTCTGGATATTGGAGACAAAGTGTTCTCCTTAGTCCCCAAAAGACCCCATTTCCACACATCAGCTGCAGGTGTGGCTACTTAAAAGGTACTGGATAGATCTATTCTGCACAGCTCCAAGGCCAGCACAGAGAGCAGAAATTAATTACAATTATGCCATACCTTTGGTAGCAATGGCATGAGGCTGAATTTAAGATTCTGTCAATGAAGAAAAAAAAAACACAAAAAATTCTAGCTGACAGAGAAAGCTCTAAGATTTTAAAAGTATTCTATTTAAAAAAACTACAGAAAGCTATGGGGTAATAGGCAAAAAATTTAAATTGCCTGACTACAGTATTTAATTGAACTTCTCTCTGCCCAGACTAGTCCTTTTAGTTCTTTTTCACAGTCTGGTGAAAAATTCTGTGTTTTATAATCTTGTCACATCACTCAGAACATCTAATCACCATAAGTCAAAATAGTTGCCATCAAAGAAAAATAAAAAAGAAAGAGGTGAGGAGGATATACATTTTTATATTTTCAGTGTTTTGTGAACATACAGAAAATATTAAAAGTATTGATTCAGTAAAAAACCCTATACGAGTTCATTAGTGAAGAGCAATTTACATGCAGAATTTCAGCTTCAGAAAGCTTATGAAGAGTTTCAAGAGTTGGACTCAAGAAGAGGGTTTAGGTAACATTTTCTTCATTGAAAGATAATTGAAAGACCTACCTAATAAAAACTTATTTTCATTTAAAATTATGGTATTTCTAATTCATATCTCAATTGTATCATAATTTAACTTTGCTTCTTTAATAGCAGAATATAGCCTGAAAAAATTTCTAGCTGGTTTCCAAGTAACACTGACATTCAGACAGTACACAGTCCCACATGTCCTGCCGTTTAGCCACATCATTACCTCAAAAATTCTCCAAGTAAAATCAAGTGACAGATGTAGTCAATCCATAGATCTCGTAAGATAGTCTCAGGCAAGACACATGACATCACTGGGCTGACAAGGGTCCCATACTCCAAGTGGCACTTCCTCAGTGGAAAAGCAACAAAGCCAGCACTTGCTAACTAGGAGTAGTCCAGAGCTCAAATTTCACAAAGAAAAAATATTTACTAGTATATGTACCCACGAAGTTTAACCCAAACAACAGCCCTAAGGTTCTTATACCCTGGATCACATCTGAGCATGGGGTCTTTGGACTTAAAAATCTCAGCTGGCAACTGATTCTGCAGCATCTGCTGTAAATTGAGGCTGCTGTGAGAGATCTTTCATTCTTCATAAACTTTGCATAAGGTCCTTAACTGAGTTCAAAATCTGTCTTTATTTTCAAGGGACATTTTAGACAACGTGCATCTCCAAGTCCACCATCAGTGATCCAGCTCATTGAATAAGCTGGAACTCTACAGCAGGGACTGTTAGGAAAGCAGGCAGAAATATTCTAAGGAACTGACGCAAGACTTTTAATAATTCCTGAACCACTCAGCTATTTGATATAAGTTTATAAAACTTTATTCACAATACAGCATTGTACAAAACAATTGGGAAGAAGGCACTAAAATGAATAGTGAGAAATTAAAGCAGCTGTTCTCAGACAATGGTTTGCAACTCAGAGGAAGTCATGAACTCTCAACAAAGCTACATCACACAAATCAGTCTGTGCATCTGAAGTGCAGCCCTGCAGAAATGTTAAGACAATGTAGTGAAGTTCAGACCTTTATGTCAGAATTTAACACTTTAGACCTTTAGAACATCCAGCCAAGCTAAATTCAGTAAGTACTTGGAAATTTTCAGACTTCTGATTAATTGTATCAGAAAGATGCTAAAAATTACTATACTCAACTCAGTGTTTAAAAAGTTTCGCTCCAAATATGTACCATGGCAACCACCACATATCAATAGGCATACACAAAATTAAAGGATTTTCTTTCATAAAATTCACAGCCTTCAGGTTTACAAACCAATAAATGGAATTACAGAAATAAAGAAACTGCTAATCTCTGTATTAAAGGAGCTTTACAAACTCAACTAAAAAGCCCAAAGGATGTTCACTGTGAGGTAACTGGTTTTAAAACAGCAAATGAGTGTGAAACTTTTTATTA